TTGCATATGAAGGCTGATCACCTGAGAAATGACATGAAATCCTGACCTATTAGCAATTAGCAGTGACTAAAATGTAGGAATTAGTTACTCATAATCACAAGTTAATACCTACCGATCCCTTATTAGTTTCCACAAGAGCACCAGCACCGCCAGATGCAAAGTTCACGCCCTTGGTCAAAACCTCATGATGCCCGGTTTGCAGATATGGTGAAATTAAGGATAATTTTGCAAATTCAGCTGCAAAAAAGTCACTATAGCTTTAAATATATTTTAAAAGTTAATCTTATAAACACTAAAATTATTTTAAAATTTATTTTAATTTTTTTAGAGTAACAAAAAAAATTTGCACGTAGATTAATTTGTAAATATATAAATTTCTGCAAGAAAGCGCTCTTACCTATAAAATCAGGGATGGTGCGGCCATTGGTAAACCTCCCGGTTGGGGATTTGAAATATGTTTCTCCATAAGGTGGGAAATTTGCCTGGAAAGTAGTGGTTGTCTTGATGTAGTTATTATTTCCAGGGTCAAAAAGTGAATCACCAAAGACAATGAGAGCAACAGGGGATTTTGGATGGAGGGCAACAGGAGGTTTTGGATGAAGGGCAGGAAGGCAATTAGAGGGCAGTGTAAGACTAGAAAGGAAGAATAATGCTACTAAGTGAAGTTGGATATGCAAATTTGCCATCTTTTAACACTTTGTATCTAATTTCTTTGGCAATCTTCCTGTCCAGTGTCAACTATATATGTCGGCAAGTCCATTCATACTTAGGCAAACTCTGCTCTTTGCCATGTTTTTTTTTTTTTTGTCGGAAATAGACAAATTCTTTAATGGACGGTGTGGTCCTTATAAAAGGCACGTCACCCTTTTGGCTTGTTAAATAATAGGCACACGTGCTTTCACATGTCAGTTACTAACCATGGATTAACCATTACTACTAGAGTAGTAGAAAATTTAAAACTCTTCTTGGATATAAACTAAGTAATCAAATCCTCTAACTTATATTCTTCTCTAGAATTTTGTGGAGATTTTATCATCAGATGCACATGCATCCATTTGATTTGATGACGATTCAGCCCTTTCAACCCTTCCCCACAGTATAGGGTCTTAAAATTTCTCTTTGACCATTTTAAATTTATTTCTTTTCTCAGCTAGCGAATCAAATTCTTTAACTTATATTTTTCTCTAGAATTTTTTGGATATTTTATCATCACGCATTCGTTTGATTTGGTGGAATTCAGCCCCTCCAACCCTTCCCCCTAATAGACTCTTAGAATTTCCCCACGTCTTCCCCCTAGTGTAAAGTAAGAGAAGCTATATAATACTCCCTTCTTCCCACTTTGCTAGTTTTTTTTTTTTTTTTTTTTTAGGTGTGTCCCGCAGGGAGTGGACCCCGCAGATTATTCACCACCCTCAGCAACTTGCTGGCAGCAAGGTTCGAACCAGGGACCTGAGGCTCCATCTTCAGCAACCTCAACCACCAGACCAAGCCCCTGAGGGCTCCACTTTGATAGTTATGTTTCTTTTTTCACACAGTTTAAGAAAAAGTAAATAATTTTGTTGGAAAAGTAAATTTAAATTGTTATTTTCCTAAAATACCCTCACATTAAATATGGTACAACTTTTTGGGAACTTGAATTGATGGTAAAAAAAAGAATCAACTCTCATTAAATGGGGTAAATTTATAGTAACAACTAGAGGTGTCAATTTGGATTGAGATCCATTTATCCATCCATATAATCCACAATTAAATGGATTTGGATTATCCATTTATGGTATTGGTTTTAAATGGTTGACTAAAGTAAAACCATTAAATTAAATGGATTTATATGGATTATTCACAAAAACCACATATATCCATTTATTTAAAAACCAAATAAAAGTAGCTTATCATGATCAAAACTTGCAAGCAAGAAATATATGACAGTGTAGTCCCCCATGCTCCCCAATCATGCGGCGGACCGCATCAACGAACTCAATTTGGGAACCCCCCCCTTTTTGGTCCCCCACCATAACCTTCCCTCCTATTCCTAGCTGGGTTCCCTCACTGTTTAAACTCAGAAAATTTTCCAATCACTGGTTGTATTTGAAAGAATATTATAAATTTGTTGTGACATGATGTGTATGAGATAAAAAAATTAAAAATTATATTTATGATATAGGTTAAATAACATTTGAAAATTTTATTTATAAATTACGGTAACCAAATTAGACCAATTGTTCTTAAATTGGACCAAAATACTACCTAAATTTTAAATGAAAAATCTAAATATTTTGCCATCTTTCTCATCCAACTACACCTAAAATTTACAAGTACATAAAAAAGTATCTTCATATTACAAGAAATGGTAATACAAAAAAAAAAAAGTAACCAAAATATTTAAATGGATTATAAATGGATAATTGGTTTTTATTTAATCCATTTAGATCCATTTATTAAATGGATCTAAATGGATTGGATAAATTTCATCCACTATCCATTAAGTCAAAACCAATTATGAACCATTTATCCATATTGCCACCTCTAGACTAACAACTACTTACATTGAATAAGGGTATTTTAGAAAAATTAAAATACAACTACATTCTTCAATTGGAAAGTGGACTATAATTTGAAAAGATGAAAAAGGAATACATGACTATCAAAATGGGACGGAGGGAGTAGGAATTATCCATCGACAAAAGAAGGAAAAAAAGAAATTAACTAACCATGGTTCACAAACGTCTGTAAGTTTGGAACTTAACAGACGTCTGTGGGTGGCAACCGGGTTACTGGCAATGATTCTAGCAGGTGTTGACTTTTGAAGAATCCTTCAATTAGTCCAAATTTATCAAAATAACCCCTGTCAAACTCCATCACCACATTTGCTGCTTCACAGCCTTTCTCCCACAAAACCTTCTTCCCCAATAACCCCCGCCACTAACTCGATCCTCCATCCCCAGCCCACTATCATAAAATCCGCCCCTCTCATTCCTTAGAGATAATCAGATAAACACCCATGATACCAATACCCCGATCCCTCTCATCCCTTAATCGCCCCCATCTACTACCTTTCTGTTGCAGATTTACTTTGTCTAAGCATTTTTTAAATTGCTCTCCCTTAGTTGCAATTATCCCCATGGTTTCCTGCAATATGATATAAGGGCTTTTTTTACTTTACAGCATTGTATAGAAGTTCTTCTTTGGCATCTTCTGTTATATACGTTACCTCCAAAGACACAGAATAAGAATTGAATGATTGGATTGGAGACTTGTTAAATTACCAAGATTAAAAAATTGAAAGATTAGAAATGTTGGGTGTTATTTGTGAGAAAGAGAGTGAGAAGAAGATATTGACAAGTCGGGTTTGGAGAGAGCATGCAGAGAAGAGAAGGAAATAAGTTTACTCATCTCTACATTTAACCAGGCAAACCGGTTGTCCTTCTCCATCAAAACGTGCACTAGAAATCTGTGGTTAGGATGTCTCCATAACGTGGATATATGTGATACTCATATTATCCTTTTTTTTTTTTCAACTTTCAATTTTTTCCTCTCATTCTTGTCTATAATCTAAGTAAAGCTTTAAAAGGACCAGATTTGTTTAATCCAATTTGCCCAAAACTCTCCTCAACTTCCTTCATAGGGAAAGGTTTGAAGTTTGGATATTGATAGGAGAGGAAATCATTTTTAATTTTTGGTTTTTTTTGTAGCTAAAAGGGAAAAAAAAAAAAATACAAGAAGAGGAAACCCGTTGGCCCCAGTTAGTAGAAGTAACATGGCTACTTAAAAAGTCCACAAGGTCCATAATTGGGGATATAGATCGGGTTGACCCAAACTTTTACCACTGGAATGAATTGAATTTGCAATAACAACTGGAAAGTGTAATACACAATTTAGAACTGAAATATTGTTTAAAACGTCTCTTATATTTCATTAAATGAAGTTTTTTATTATTGATTTTTAAAATATTAGTTTTTCGTCTTTTACAAATTCAAGTCGATAAAATTTGATTCTAATCTAAGTTTTGAACTACTTTTTAGATTAAAGTATCACTTTTAAAATGTTAATTTTACCCCTTTTCAAAATATCATTTTCTCTTATTCTAAGGGTACATTTGATAAAATTAAATTTTGAAATTTGAAGTCTAAAATCTGAAACCTAAATCCATTAAATTAGTAAATTGTTAAGTACTAAATTTGATACATTTGAGTGTATACTATATTAAGTGATAAGTGAATAATTTAAAACTTATTTTTTGGAGTAAATTTTGTTCAGAAAATTCAGTGCCAATTAATGAATTCAAATGTTCTAATTTTGATTATCAAACGGGTTTAAATATAGGGAAATTTGCAAATTGGTCCCTAATATTTTCACAAAAATTTTTTTAGTCCCCAACATTTAAAATCAGCCAAAATCGTTCTTAACATATAAATTATGATCCATTTTGGTCATAAGGCTCATATTGCTCATTTCTCCGACTGAAAATAGCACGCCTCTCTCACATGGGCATATTTTTAAGGGCAAAATCGAAAAACACACTTCATTCCAGATTGAAAGCAAAAGCACTCCTTTTCACTTTTCCCCTGAAAATTACAGTCACAAAAAACCTAAATTTCTCCCTGAATTTTGGGAGGAAGCATATGGAGGAGGCATTGTGTACCTAATGTTGAATGGGGATCTCTTTTTCTTTTGCTTTCGTGCCAACCAGACACCAAGCACCACAAGACCAAATTGCCAGAAAGCCCACGAATCCAATTGCCATGACAACTCCGCCCTTCATGCTCCCACCATTTCTGGATATTGTGATTGCAGTAATATTTGGGGCAGGTGTAGTTGATCATGCAATGGGTTTCTTAGGGGCAATTGCTGGTAAGATTGAGCTAGTTGGAGCATTAGCTTGGGATGTATTATTCCGGGAGGCGGGGGGAGAAGGTGAAATAAGAGATGGTGGTGATGGGATAACGAGACGTCACCGAAAGTAGAGGGGGATTTAACAAGGATAGAGTCTGGGAAGAAGCGTGATGGTAGAGGAGGTATGGGAGAAGGAGACGTCACCGAAAGTGGAGGGGGATTTAACAAGGATGGAGTCTGGAAAGAAGCGTGATGGTGGAGGAGGTAATGCAGGAGAGGAAGGGTTGGTGAGCGGTGACTTTATAGCGGGAGGATGTAGAGAAACAGAGGTAGGTGGTGATGGGACTGCAATTGGTAGAGGAGGAGATGGTGAAAGAGTTGGAGAGGGAGGTGCTATGCCAAAGGGAGGGGAAGGTGATGCTTGTGGGGGAGGAGGGAGTGATAAGTTTACAGATGGAGGAGGGCAGTAGGGGGTGGTGGGTGGTGGCATAGATGGAAGGGGAAGGAGGGATGGAGGAGGTAAGGAAGGGGAAGGGGGTGGTGTTGATAATGGTGGTGGTGATGATTGGGATCGGGGAGAAGGGGGGAGGTAAGTAAGGAAGTATGTTTTTCGGTTTTGCCCTTAAAAATATGTCCATGTGAGAGAGGCATTCTATTTTTAGCCGGAAAAATGAGCAAATACGATTATTAGAACTAAAATGGATCATAATTTATATGTTAGGAACAATTATGGTTGATTTTAAATGTTGGGGATTAAAAAAGTTTGTTGTGAAAATGTTAGGGGCCAATTTGGCAAATTTTTCTTAAATATATTAAGATCTAAACCCATTAAATTTAAAGTGTTGAATTCGATTATCAAACATAGTTTAAGTTTTTGGGGTGTATACATCTTTGTTTGAGACTGCTTTGCGCTTATGATAAAAAGGAGCAAACTGTAAATACTGATTTTTTTGTCATTTTGATTTTCTTAGAAATAGGAAAGGTAAATTGATAATTTTGAATTAAGTTTTATTTTATTTTCTTTCCTTTTGTTTTGTGCACTAAGTTTTGATTTTTAGCTTTGAAAAAAAATGAAAATAATAATAAATAAGGTAAATTTCTAAGAAATTTCCTAGTGCACACACCCCCGCGCACTCGTGCACTCCACCAACATCAAAGGAAACAACATATATAGAAGTTGACTTTTGACCAAAAAAAAAAAAAAAAATCAAAGGAAACGACTAGAAAGCTTCCGTCCAGGATTCCTTTCTCATCTCCAAGTAAAAGCGATGGCCTTCTCTTTTCATCTTCTGAGATCCTATGCGCTCAACCGATAGCAATGGAAATTACCAGAAAGCTTCCTTCTTCAATGCCTTCCAACTCAAAAAAGTCCACTACTATATTTTTTGGATTTTTTAAAAACAAGAAAGCATAGCTTTTGATGCACTAATCGAGATTTAAACTCTCGATATTATGCACCGAAAAGATTTAAGGGATAATTTCAGAAACCTCCCTTGAGGCTTCTGACAATTTCACTAAACTTCTCTGAAGTTGAAAAATTACACTTACTTCCCTTGATTTGATAATTTTAGTAACAAAAGCTTAAAATAATATTGGATTGGTCAAATTTTTAAATGAATATCCAAAAATACTTTTGTGTAATGAGTTTTAATTTATTTTCCTATACAATTATAAGATTATCTATTATAATTATAAGAAAAATATGTCAAAATTTTTATGCCCATACTTACTATTTGATAAATAACTATAATAATAATTTTATCACTATGATAAGATACTTTTGGTGGTATTTTATTATGAATTTAAATTTATAAGATAGAAAAGAAAATGTTGAAATAATTCATTTATAGTCTTTGAATTTTTCGAATAATGAGATTATCACAATTTAGTTGTGCCTTTGGGTTATTTCTTTTTGATTTATTGTTAATTTTAATAACAAAAAATAGAAAACAAAGATTAACAAAAACATTAGAGTACATATAAAATTAACTTGTAAAAACAAAAAATCACTAGTTTGATATTTGGTTACAATAAAAACTAGAGGCAATAGTGGTAATTCTACAGTTTTATTGGTAAAAAATTTTAAAAAAAGGAATAAGAAGGAAAAATAATGAAAAATAATTTTAAAATTCATTCTAAGTATAAGTATATCAAATAAGAGAATTTTATTAAAATATTTAAAGATAAAATTGTCATTTTAAATGATAAGAGAGATATGTATAATTTTTTAAATCTCAAAAGAGCTTAATAAAATTATTAGAAACCTCAAGGGAGGTTTCTAAAATTATCCCAAGATTTAAAGAGGCTCTCTGAATCATCTTCTAAAACTCGAATGCGTCCATATCGGGAACCGTTTGACAGTTCCTACTATAGGAACTGACCACCTGTGAGGCCAAGAAATAGACACGAAGGTTGCTGTCCAAACTCGTTGGATTTGTGATGGGGAGGGCCATTGAATGCACGGGCGACGGTCGTGAATGTGGAGTCGCTTAAAAAAGATCCGCTGGGGCTGGGCTGGGGACCCATAATCACACGGCTGGATTTAGTACGAAATTGGTGGAGGGTCACCATCGGATTGTCCCACTGAATGAAATTATTCGAGGGGTGCTAGTACTGCCATGGTTGCTTATCTTTTTCTGACTGGACTGTTTCCTTTTGTTTTCTCCTATTGCTCGTCAGTTCTTGGTTTCAAAATGAAAAAGAAATGGAAAATAAGGGGTTTGGTTATCAAGATTTGTAAGAAGAATTTCTAAATTTTTTGGTTTACATCATAAATATAGATTTTAATCACTTTTTATATCACATACATATTGCACACCATAGTATTATTTTAGATAATTTTTTTCAAATAATCTCCTATCCAAATAGATCCATCGTTTTCTCTATTTTTTGCTGATAATGTTCTAGAAAATGGATCCAACCACTCAGGAAAATGACGTGAAATATGTTAAAAGATTTCAAATACAATCATTCCATGTGAAATACATGATTTGGGGACAATTGCTTGTTATGGGGTAATTATCCTTTCCCTGTCCCACTTTTTCTACTCTGTATTATAATCATGCTTCAAAAACTCGACGGAGGCTTACGGGGAAACCTTAATGGTAGGAATGCATTGACCATTCCTACAATAGGTAGAGGAGCAGAGCATGACACGTATATTTGGAAATAAAGGTGCTAGCGGACCGGTTATGTTGTAGTCCTAACGCGCATGGAGAAAGTCAGCCATATAGAAGCATTGTATGTGATTTGGTATATTTTAATACTCTACCATTTTAAAGACATTGATCAAACATGATCACTTCAATTTCTTTCATTTTCTCCAAAAACTCTCCTTTTTTCTTCTTGTATTTTTTTCGTTTTCAATACATTAGTTTGGACCAAAAAAATAAAATAAAATTGAAAATATGTAAAAGATTCATAAATTAACTCAAAAACACCTTATATAATACCCAAAACATTATCTTTGTAACTTGCAAAAACTTCAAATACTAACTATTGGTATTTAAAAAATGCACTATATTTTATCGAATCAGAATAAATCCTTATACTTTTTTATTTTTATTTGTTTTTAATATACTCAAGTTTTGGTAATAAAAAGTAAGACAACAAAAAGGTAAATTTGGAATTACATTTTTTAATATACTTAAAATGAATTTTTTTAATATTATATTTTAAAATGAGCTGTAAATAAACAAATAGTTTAAAGTAAGGGAGGCAAGTGAGTTTCACGCCAAAAAAAAGAAAAGAAAAAAAGAGAGAGGCTAGTGAGATTTTTCAATATTTGTGAGTGCCAAGTAAAATTGTTAGAAACCTCCGAGGAGGTTTATGAAATTATTCCAAACAAAAATTTAGAATGAATAAGTTGGTTTTTATAATGGTTCTAAAGGTTGCTTGAGACTTTATAAATTAGGTGTCTTGAATTTGCAAAAACAATTTCTTGCATATCTATATCTAGTGGAAACGGAGTTTAAACTTGCTATAGGTTAGTTTCTTGTTTTCCATTGTATCCTAAAGGGTAATTTGCCATTCAACCTAATTTTTTTCTGATTTTATCCAACTAATAAATTAGCTTATGGAAAAATGGGTAAATGGATGATTTATGGAGGAAAGCCATAAAGAGCTGGTGTTTTATTGGAAAACGGATTTATTTTTATTTTAGCCAATAGATAAATTTGTTTATGGGAAAATGGGTACTCTGTTCTTATAATGGATGAAAGCCATAAAGAGCTTGTGTTTTATTGGAAAACGGGTTTATTTTTATTTTATCTGATAAATAAATTTGTTTATGGGAACATGAGTACTCTGTTCTTATAATAGAGGAAAGCTATGAAGAGCTGGTATTTGATGGAAAAATGATATTTTAGGATACCAATGGATAACAGTTAAAACACATTCATAGATTTGGTATTTTAAATAATAAGATTGTTTTTAGAGGTATTTTTATGGTTGTATTTTGGGATATCTTTAGAATTTAAGAATTATTTGAGATATTTTATAAAAATTTCAACCATCCACTACCACCCCCTTCTCATCTCTCTCTCTCCCTTATTTCTTCCTCTTTCACTCTCCTCTCTTCTCCCTCGCTTTCCTTCCTTTTCTTCACCCTCCCACCACCACCCCTGCCATCACCCACCACACACTGTGTGACGACCCCACCTTCTTCTAGGGCATACCCTAGAAGTTAGCGGATCGCTTGCCTGGCTTTCGCCAGGACTCACTCACTCACATTAACTTCAGAGATAACATTATCATTGGACAACTGAACATTCACTCTTAAGTACATCTCCAATCAGTTTGAAACATAAATTTGTCCAATAAAAGAAACAAAATACCTGTTCTAAATATCCATTCTTAATATCACACCAACTCAAACAAAAGATTCAACCGTCTCAAAATTCAAAAGAAACCAGGACTACACTATATACACAGAGTAATGGATCTTCCCAAAATAACTTTCTAGTTCAATCTAATCACTTTTCAATCTCCAACTCCTATAAGGAAAACAAAGCTAAAAGGGTGAGCTTACGCCTGTGAGGTTCCATGCAAGCAACAATCAATAAACACTTAAATCAGTACAATTAAGCAAGTAGTGCATATTTCACTGTACAATCACTTTCATTAAGCAATTGAGAAAATACTTCACTAAACAATCACTTTTAAAAGGATACGGTGCTCGCATTAGAGCCACTTTAATGCACTACACACTCCGCTGAACTCCTCCTTATAACCTCCAAAACAGTAAACACTTCCTTTACTTAGATGGCCATATCAATATCAGTAATCTGCTACTCCGTGATAATACTCGAGTATACCGAAACACTTACCCAAAGCTACCGTCCTATCCGACCAAACCCTTTGCTAGCTTGAATAGTCCATTGAACAGAGGGTTTTGGGGCCCAGTTTAGCGAGTGTGATAAAGTACACACACGGCTTACAGTCATGCACAATTACAATATCACTTGATCAA